AGAGGTGGTCCGGCCCGTTTCGGCTGAGACATCCTCGAACTTCTGAGCTCTGAGATGCACTGCGCGAGGTGGTCCGGCCCGTCTCGCCTGAGACATCCTCGCAAATCTGAGCTCTGAGATGCCGTGCGCAAGGTGGTCCGGCCTGTTTCGCACAAGACATTCTCGCAACTCTGAACTCCCAGATGCCGCGCAAGAGGTGGTCCAGCCTGGGGGCCCAGAAGACCACATGTTACATATCCTCCCTGGGACCCTGGGAGCCCGCCTGAGACATCCTCGCACTTCTGAGCTCTGAGATGCCCTGCGCGAGGTGGTCCGGCCCGTCTCGCCTGAGACATCCTCGCAACTCTGAGCTCTGAGATGCCGTGCGCAAGGTGGTCCGGCCTGTTTCGCACAAGACATTCTCGCAACTCTGAGCTCTCAGATGCCGCGCAAGAGGTGGTCCAGCCTGGGGGCCCAGAAGACCACATGTTACATATCCTCCCTGGGACCCTGGGAGCCCCAGGAGGCCCAGAGAGCTCCAGGAGGCCGCAGGACGCCCAGGACAGGCCCCAGGGGTCCCCAGGAGATTCCCAGGAGGCTCCCAGGAGGCCCCAGGAGGCCCCCTATCAGAACGTGTCAAGTTAATACACATCCGGTGTCGATTCGTTGATTTTTCCTGCTCTTGCGCCCCCCCCTCCATTTTGAGAGGCCCAAGCGGCCACAGGTTAGATATCCCTTCTGGGAGCCCCAAGAGGCTTCGGGAAACCCCAGGTGGAGTTCAGGAGGCCCCAGGAGGCTCAGGAGGAAGCCCCAGGAGGTCCCCAGGAGGCCCCAGGAGGCCCCCGCAACTCGGAGCTCTGAGACGCCGCGCTCGAGGTAGTACGGCCCGTTTCGCCTGAGACTTCCTCGCAGCGCGTTTCGCCCGAGACACCGGCCCGTCTCGCCTGAGACATCCTCGCAACTCTGAGCTCTGAGATGCCGTGCGCAAGTTGGTTCGGCCCGTTTCGCACAAGACATTCTCGCAACTCTGAGCTCTCAAATGCTGCGCAAGAGGTGGTCCAGCCTGGGGGCCCAGAAGACCACATGTTACATATCCCCTGGGACCCTGGGAGCCCCAGGAGGCCCCAGAGAGCTTCAGGAAGCCGCAGGACGCCCAGGACAGGCCCCAGGGGTCCGCAGGAGATTCCCAGGAGGCTCCCAGGAGGCCCCCTATCAGAACGTGTCAAATTAATACAAATCCGGTGTTGATTCGTTGAGTTTTCCTGCTCTTGTGGCCCCCCTCCCCCATTTTGGGGGGCCCCGACGGCAACATGTTAGATATCCCCCCATGGGAGCCCCAACAGGCCCCAGGTGGGGTCCAGGAGGCCACAGGAGGCCCAGGAGGAAGCCCCAGGAAGTCACCAGGAGACCCCAGGAGGCCCCAGGAGGCCCCCGCAACTCGGAGCTCTGAGACGCCGCGCTCGAGGTGGTCTGGCCCGTTTCGCCTGAGACTTCCTCGCAGCACGTTTCGCCCGAGACATCGTCGCAACTCTGGGGTCCGAGATGCCGCGCGCGAGGTGGTCCAGCCCGTTTCGCCTGAGACATCCTGGCAACTCTGGGCTCCGAGATGCCCTGCGCGAGGTGGTCCGGCCCGTCTCGCCTGAGACATCCTCGCAACTCTGAGCTCTGAGATGCCGTGCGCAAGGTGGTTCGGCCCGTTTCGCACAAGACATTCTCGCAACTCTGAACTCCCAGATGCCGCGCAAGAGGTGGTCCAGCCTGGGGGCCCAGAAGACCACATGTTACATATCCTCCCTGGGACCCTGGGAGCCCGCCTGAGACATCCTCGCACTTCTGAGCTCTGAGATGCCCTGCGCGAGGTGGTCCGGCCCGTCTCGCCTGAGACATCCTCGCAACTCTGAGCTCTGAGATGCCGTGCGCAAGATGGTCCGGCCTGTTTCGCACAAGACATTCTCGCAACTCTGAGCTCTCAGATGCCGCGCAAGAGGTGGTCCAGCCTGGGGGCCCAGAAGACCACATGTGGCTCCCAGGAGGCCCCAGAGAGCTTCAGGAGGCCGCAGGACGCCCAGGACAGGCCCCAGGGGTCCCCAGGAGATTCCCAGGAGGCTCCCAGGAGGCCCCAGGAGGCCCCCTCTCAGAACGTGTCAAGATAATACACATCTGGGGTCGATTCGTTGATTTGTCCTGCTCTTGTGCCCCCCCCCCCATTTGGGGGGGCCCCGACGGCCACATGTTAGATATCCCCCCATGGGAGCCCCAACAGGCTTCAGGAAGCCCCAGGTGGGGTCCAGCAGGCCATAGGAGGCCCAGGAGGAAGCCCCAGGAGGTCACCAGGAGGTCCCAGGAGGCACCAGGAGGCCCCCGCAACTCGGAGCTCTGAGACGCCGCGCTCGAGGTGGTCCGGCCCGTTTCGCCTCAGACTTCCTCGCAGCACGTTTTGCCCGAGACATCGTCGCAACTCTGGGGTCCGAGATGCCGCGCGCGAGGTGGTCCAGCCCGTTACGCTGGAGACATCCTCGCAACTCTGGGCTCCGAGATGCCGTTCGGGATGAAGAGGAGGTGGAGGAGGAGGAGGAGGAGGAGGAGCAGGAGGAGGAAGAGGAGGCATGTTTTCACATGCCATGCCAGCCCGCACTGGACGGGCACGCAATCGACCTTGGAAACCGCAGTGGGTCTAAAAACCCTGTTTGGGGATACTGCACTCTGGCTATAATTGTGTCATTCTCCCCCTCCTCCTCTTCTTGCTCCCCCACGCGTTCCCCGAAGCCTTTCCCAACCGACTCGGGGAACAACTGGCCCGATAGCTTGGCCAAGCTCTGGCCCAGCTGTCGGCCACAGAGGCGCTTCCCAACGGGCAGAGGGCGGTGGTGCTTCGCCGTAGGCGTCTTTGATCCGCCGCCCCCTGTTAATTTATCATAGGGGTGCCTGGCGTGCTAAACTTCTTAGAGTTGTTTGGTACTTGTAAACAAGCTTTCCCTGGGACTTCGGCCCAGCGCGCCAGCCACCCCGAAAGCCGCAGAAATTTCGACGCCCATTGCCCAAATCGCCTCCAAGCCGGCCAAGAAGGCTCAAATGTGCCTCCATGTTCGTCCACAGTGGTCCCATCACGGCCTCCAAGACGGCCCAAGAGGGTACAAGATGTCTCCAAGTCCGCCCAAGAAGCCGCCAAGTCGGCCTAAGACGGCTCCAAGATGGCCCAAGACGGCCCAAGAGGCCCCCAAGAGGCCTCCAAGACGGCTCCGGAGGCCCCCAAGAGGGCCTCCAGGAAGACCCGAACAGGCACAGATCGTTGATGCTCCTCAGGGATTTGAAAGATGTTGGCATTCGGTTCTTTTCGGCCCTCCAACGGCCCGAGACGGCCCAAGGGGCCGCCAAGATCGCTCCAAGATCGCCCACAAGGCCTCCAAGATGACCCCAGAAGGGCCCAAGAGGCCGGAGGCCCCCAAGACAGCCCCAAGAGGGCCCAAGAAGTCTCCAAGATGCCCAGGATGGCCTCCAAGACGGCCCTGGAGCACCCCAAGAGGGCCCCAAGTCGGTTGAGAGAGGCCCCCAAGACGGCTTCCGACCGTGTCACACGGGCCAGGAACGCCCTGAGACGGCCAACGAGGCCCCCCCAAGAGGCTCAAGGCCCCCAGCATACCTCCAAGAGGCCTCCCAAGATGCCCCCCTCTTCTCCTTCTCCTCCTCCTCCTCCTCCTTCTGATCTTCCCCGCTATCCTCCCCCAAGTGTTCCCCGAGGGGTTTCCACAACGGCTGGGGGAACACATGGTCCGATAGTTCCGCAGAGCTCTGGCCACCACGTTCGGCCACACGGGCGATTCCAAAAGGCAGGGGGCGGCGGTGATTCGCCGTAGGCGTCTTAGATAGTCCAAGAGGGGCCTGAAATCGCCCGAGCGCCCCAAGAGAGACCCCAGAGGACCCCGCGGAATTCCAAGCAAGCTCTCAACAGTATCGTTTCAGGTACCTTTGGTTTGAAACTGTTGCAGGCTAATTCTGGGGCTGGCATGGGGCCATCGTACGACTTTTAAAACATCTTGGTACCCTTTGGGGCCCCTCTTCAACCCTTATGGAACTCTCGGAGAGCCCAAAGACAGCTACAATAAGCCTCTAAGAGAGCCTGGCGAGAAATCCAAGAGGATCCTCAGAAGGTCCCCAACAATGCACGGTGGCGGGATGGGATGTGGGCTCGAACGCCCCAAGAGAGCCCCCAGAGGGCTCCCACAGAATTCTCCAAAAGACGGCACGGCTCGACTCCCAGATAGTCAGGACGGCGCTGCATTGCCGCCAAGACGATCCAAGCTGCCCTCCAAGACGGGCCTGGAGGGCGGCAAGAGGTCGCCATGAAGCCTGAGGAGGTTCCCAGAGTCCCGAAAAGGCTCCCAAGAGGTCTCCTCCTCCTCCTCCTCCTCATCGTCCTTGTTGTACTGCTCGTTCTACTCCTCCTGCTCCTCCCACTCCTCCTGCTCTTCTCCTCCGCCGCCTCCTCCCTCTCCTGATTCCCCCCCTCTTCGTCCCCCAGCGGCTGCGAAAGCACACAGGCAGATAGCTTGGCCAAGCTGTGGTCCTCGTCGTACGCTTCTTGGGAACCTCATGAGGCTTCAGGGAAACTCTTCGGGAATTCTGGTCCCAACCTTCCCGAACAACTCTGGCTGTCTCCTTCATCATTCGGGGGCGCGCAAACATGGATTAACGATCCATGGATTTGGCGCGCGGTCTCCAAATCCACTGATCGGGGGAGGTGCCCTACCCAGAATGCGGCCGGTGCCGCCTCGCTCGGCGGCGGAAATCCGCGAGTTCCCTTGGAAACGGGACCCGTCGCTAATCCCCGCCCCCTCAATCCATGTTTGCGATCGCCTGAATCATGGAAGGCTTTCTTCCAGGGTCGGCGGCACGAACCGCAAAGCCTTCACAATCAGTGGTGCGGGCACCAACCTCCGTCCCCCCCAAGCCCTCCACAGCTAGCGCACCCTCCCCCAGTCGCCCTTCCCAAGCGCGGCGGCGGATTGGCGCGGCAGCGCAACAGGATGATGTTGGGCAGCTGGCTCATCATGTAGAAGCTCACTCTGTCATTGACGACTCTCTCGGCACGCTTACAATGGTACTCCTTCCCGAGCTCCCTGCACGGGTATACGGGGATGCGCTTCGTGCACGATTCCAGCTCCAGGCTGACGTTTGAGGCCAGGTGGATGTCGTCCGAGAATATGACGCACGTGAGCTCGTCCACGTTGCGGTGCCGCTTCACCTCCAGCAGCCCGTTCCTGTAGTAGTCCATGTCCAAATTCCTGCCCATGCCGATGTAGTCCCCCAGCCGCAGGTGGATGCCCACGACTGCGCCCGCCGGGCCCGTCTTCTCGAGCCAGCTGTCCAGGATGTGCCTGGCCTGGCCAGCGACCTCTGCGTTCCAGAAGGTCGGCCGAAGCCAGTTGAGGTGGTGCACGAAAAACTCTGGTCGCTGCCAGAATCCGTCCAGCTCGACGACCGAGCAGGGGCTGGGGGTTGGCGTGGTCAGGATCGCGTCCGCCCACACGCGCGCCCAGTTCATGCCCTTCCGCGGCTCTAGGGCAGATTGGATGTGCAACTCGCCCTTAGACACGCCCGAGAGCGTCCAGTTGGATAGGTTCCCGAGGTCATAGTCGAGCTTCAGGGGCCAGCCGAAGTCCCACATGTGGCACTTATGATCTTGTGTGTTCAGCCAGTCCATGTCCTCGCTCGACCAGATGAGCTCCTCCAGGTTGTCAAGCTGTGGGATCGCGCCAGGTTTGTACCTCTCGTTGTGAGGGGCTGCGGCACGCGCGCCGGCCTCCTTCGTGATGGACAGCAGAGCCGCCCACTGGAAGAGGCGGTTGCCAAGGCGCGCCCTGTTCAGCATGGTGATGAGCGCTGGCTTGGGCATCGGCGCATGGGCCGGCCAAGCCAGCCCGTTCACTGTCGCCGCCGCATCGTCCTCCTCTCTGCTGGAGAAATAGCTGCCGAGGGCCTCGAACTTCTTCTTGGTCTCCCTCTTGTGGGCATTATAGTCCAGCCAGTTGGCAAAACCAGCCTGGTGCATCTGCTGAGCCCAGTGGCCCACGGTCCCACTCGCGACGGCGCCGCTCCCGCTGACAGTGGCGGCCTGCTGGGTGTCTTCGGCTCTCTCCCCGGCGGCCTGGCTGCCAGTTGCCTCTGCCTGCTTCCCACTGCTTCCCGCTGCCTCCACGGCGGCGGCCTCCGCCCTCTTCCCAGCAGCGTCGGCATTGCTGGCTTCCGCTCCTCTCCCGGCGGTGCCGCTGTCGTTGTCCTCGATGACGGTGGCCTCTGCCTCCTGCACCGCGGTGCCGCTCCCGCTGGCCTCTGTGATTGTGGCCTCAACTTGGGCACGGGCCCCAGACTGCTTCTCCTCAGTGTCGCTCTGGCTGGCCTTCGTGATGGTGGCCTCTGCTCCCTTCCTGGCGGCACCGCTCTCGGAGGCCTCCCGGGTGCTGGCCACTGCCGTCTTCTCGATGATGTAGCTCTGGCTGCTCCATTCGGTGCTGGCCTCTGCCTCCTTCGCGTTGGCGCCGACCTCTACGGCCTTCTGGGCGCTGGCCTCCCCCGTTTTCCCGGTGCTGGCCTCCGCTGTGAGAAGAAAGAACGGCATAAGCACAAACTGTCGGACCTCCGCACGGACTTCTTGGATCGGTGCTGGGCCCCCTGGAGCGCGCCAGAGGCCCAGCGCCGATCCAGGAGACATCCGATCGGAGCTCCGAAAGTGTATGGTTGTGACGTTGTCTCTTGCTTGGGGCTGTGGCCTCCTTGGGGGAGTGGCTGAACTGGAAGGAGGGCGTCCTCTTCCTCCTGCTCTTCTCCCGGGCCTCTCTCATGAGCTTGTCCACGGCCTCTGTGCTCGCCTTCGATCGGACCCTGCCGCGCTGCGCAGCGTGGGTGGCGCCCAAGGCGCGGCTTGCGCCCAGCGTGGGCCACTCCAGCGCGGCCTGGACCATGCCCACGGCGTCATCGAGCTGGCCTTCGCACGCGAGCGCCAGCAGGGCACAGAGCAGGACGCGCAGCGATGCGCCCGCCATTGAAAACGTTCAATAGTCAGGACATGGAAACGTTTGACCAAGAGTGACTTGAGCCAAAACGGCTACGGAGCTGGGGGAGGGGGCACGGATATCCAACGGCTTCTGGGAACGGGAGAAGAAGAAGAGGACGACAACGGAATGGATGAGACGGAGGACAAGGACGAGCAGGATGACAAGAGGTAGGACGGTTAATGCGACGATGGGGAAACAGGAGTAGCGAGCACAAGGAGGAGCAAAAGAGCATCCGCTGGCCCACAAAACGAACATACCTCCTGACCCCTGACCCTCCTGGCCGTCATCCCGACCCCCCTTGTCCTGGTCATCTCCCTCCTTCTGGCCCCGATCCTCCTCCTCCTCCTCCTCGTCCTCCTCCTTCTTGTCTTCCTCGACCCCCTCTCTCTGACCCCGATCCTCCTGATCCTGACCTTGACCCTTCCCCCGCCTACTCCTTCTGGCCCTGGTACCCTTCCCGAGCCCGACCCCCCTCCCTCCTCGCCCCTCTCTCCCTCTCCTCCTCGCCTCTCTCTCCTTCTCCCCTCGCCCTCTCCCTCTCTCCTCTCCCTCTCCCCTCTCTCTCCTTCTCCACTCTCTCTCTCATTCTCCCCTCTCTCTCCTTCTCCCCTCTCTCTCCTTCTCCCATGCCTCCTCGCCTCTCTCTCTCTCTCTCTCCTCCTCGCCCCTCTCCCTCCACCCCCACCCACCCCCTCTTCGCCCCTCTCTCCTTCTCCCCTGGGGCCGCCCCGCTCCCCCGCAGACCCGAGAGCCGGCCCGCGGCCCCCTACTGCCCCAGTTGGCCCCCATAGAGGCCTCCCCGATAGGGTCCGAGTGGCTGGGGTCGGGGGATCGCGCCGCATCGCCGATGCGTCGCCGACGTCTCGCGACGTCGGCGATCGGCGACGACGGCGTGCGTGGAGAACATCGGGCTCCACATTGCCGATACATCGCCGATGCCTCGGCGCTACGGCGTGGTCTTCCGACCCCGTCTGCCCGGGGACCCCGTCCGGGAGGCCCGGACCCCCGCCCCTGCCAAAGCCATGTGGTTGAAGTTCATGCACTGGAACGTGCCGCCTCCGCCGGGGCGGCCGGGGCCCGCGGTGCGCCCAGCTGGGGCTTCGGGCGGCGCGCGCCCTTGGGGGGCAAACGATAGAGGGGGGACTGGCATAGGGGGGGATGCACCGACCTTGAATCGGCGATACATCGCCGACAGATCGGCGATAGGCCTCTGAGAGTGAGTCCGCAAGTTCCTGGGCAGGTTAGGGCTACTGGGCCCCTATCGGCGATCAATGGGCGATTGGGGGTCGATGCATCCCCCCCGAGGCCCATCCCCCCCTATCGTTGCCCCTGACCCCTGCCCCTTCGTTTCCGCCGCCCGCGGGGGGGGCCCATCTCCCAGGCCCTGGGGGCCATCACAGGCGGGTCCGGGGGCGGAGAAGTTCTTTCGGAGGAGGAACTCCAGGGCTCCAGAAATTTGGGGACACAGGAGTGCAAGCTCACACCCGCCGCAGTCCATGAAACAACGAAGATCATGGAGCGGGGAATGACATACCGTATTTGGGGGGTTTACCCTTCGCCAGCCGCTCAAGGTTTCGACGACCTGTGGCCGTCGGCTCTGCGGGGCAGGGCAGCGTCAGCATCTGTGCAACGCTGACGAACAATGCCCCGCAGCCTCGCCAAAAGAGCGCACATTTGTATTCGGCCAGCGTGTGCGTCATACGCGCACGCAGGTAGCATGAATGCCCGATCGGATTGCCCAAGGACACCGGAACAGGACTGGCAGAACGATCCACCCTACCAGCCGACGAAGATCCCAACACCAGCGCCCCAGGACACGGACCAGACCAAAACTTTTACAACTCCCCGCGGACAGCAAGGAACTTGCTCAGCCACCGCGTGCACTTAAGCGTGTCCGATACTTTACCTGTATCGTGCCCTTGCTCACGCAGCCTTTTCGTGGCGGAGGTTACAGAAGCTCGGGCCGTTCTCTCGATTATGGTCTCTGCCCAAGCGCCCCTCACGCTCTCGGGGACACGTGAGAGCAAAATGCCTGGACACCGCGAGGAGACGTTTAACTACAGTGAAACAGTTCGCATCTACTCTGAAGTTCGCGAAGGCTATCATCTGGTAGGGCTCCCCACTCGGCAGCTTTCCCCGCAAAGTGAGCGGCGACACCATTGGCGACTAATCCCTGGAGGGTCAGGCGGAGATCGCAGTTCACCTCGGCATTCGTTCTGGGGAAGGCACGCGCTCTTGGGAGGAACTCGGCGCACAGCATCGCATCACCGACAACAAGGAGGAGGAGGGGCTGGATGAGGGCATAGATTTCAGCTCGAGGAGAAGACTGGCTAGGTCCAGGGAGAGTACCACTGGCCAGGTCCCAACTGCATGGGCCCTCGATGGAGGAGCACAACAGACCAACTACCTCTCCCTCGCCTCCAGTCATCCGAATGGGCCCCTCCAGACCCATATCTCCGAAAAACACCTCCTACGATTTTGGCGCCGCGGTGCAGGGCCTCGTAGAAGGCCCCCAAGCCCAGACCTTCGCCTCCGCAGGCGGAAGGACCCCCAAGGTTCACCCAAGAGGGACCAGCCCACGGGTCCAGACACGCTCCGGCTCGGGGACACTATCAAACGAGCCCTGGAACATGTGCGAGGTAAGGTGGAGGCTTTCATCATCGATTCGCAGAGATCGTGGCACTCCCAATGCCTGTACCAGGGCGTCTCCTGCCGCGCACCGCAGCGAGGACGAACTCCATTACTGACGTCGCCTGGGTCCTTCAGGCGCTGCGCAGGCCAAAGCGGTTCAAAATGGCGACGCCATCGACATCGCCTTGGCGGGAAAGAGCGCGGCGCAGCCTCCGAAAAACAATGCGGTCGACGCCCCCGCGCAGGACCTGACCACCATTCGCTTCAGAAGCTTGTTTCCATGACGTGATACCGACTTGCTTGCCAACCGTCTTCCAGATACCAAACTGGGAATCACGCTGATCAACCCGCAGGGTGGCCCCGTCCAGAGGTTAGGCCCCTGAGGGTTCCCACGCACGCAATCACAGCCGCAATGGGACTACGAACATGACGCCAACGATTGGCACGAAGAACATCACGCAGATCATCCATAATTTTAGGCCAAACACGTCGCACACTCTGAACTTGACCGGGGTCCAGGGTTTTCAGGTACTGCTCCGCTCAAATAGATGCTCAAACCGAATCTTACACGCAAGGTCGTCAGACATGGCATGGTCCAAGGACAGGAGGGAAGTGGCACAGACGCCAGAGTGCCACCGTCCTGAGGCCTTCGCAGCCCGCGAGCGAAGGCGCCGCATGCGCGAGGTAGGCTCGCCCAAGACTTGGCGGCTCCAAGTGCTCACCGCAACCCGCAACGACTCTGGGCATGAACAGCTTGCGAGCGCGAAGATTCGCATGAGCATGGGACGTGAACTACTTCCCTCTCCTGCGAGCCTCCTCCCGTCGCTGCCCCATCTTCCGCGCGGTGCCCCGCCGACCCGCAGTCGTGCAGACGCCAGGATCTCTAACAGTTTCAACCACTTTCAGCGGGACAGGGAGAGAGTCGCAAAGCTCCGCCACAGGCTTGCCTGCTTTCTGCGGGGGGGGGCACCGCGCAAGACTTTGAGGAGATCTTGCGCCCTCTCTGCTGCAGCATCGCAGAGAACTCACGAGCGGCGGGCAAAAGCTTGCTAACACTATCCTGACGGGACACCTGGACGCACTGAGCGAGGTCGTCCACATAAGCAGAGATGGGGAGACGAGGCGCACGACAATGGGCAGCCCCCACGATATCATACAAATCGCACTTAATCCACGGAAGGGGCCGGGAACAACCAGCAAGGATGGACTGCCCCGCCTGCAGTACATCCGACACCGTAGACTGGGCTTCTGGCACACGAGGGGAGACATGGATGAGCAACGCAAGAGACAGGAGTACAGGGGAGTAGTCAACCACCAAAGCAAGACCGACAACTTTACTGGGGTCGATCGCATCCATCACGCGAAGTTTCCCATATCCCAATGTCATGATACCGGGAAGACGCCATCCTCGCGCGCACACTCGTGCAAGACTTCCCGAGGCATCGCCGTCCGCAGGGCCGACGATTTTTTCACAACCGCGCCCCAGAAGGCGACGCGGGAGTCAGTCCAGTCCTGGATTCGATCCCCTCGGATGCGGGTGTACAACGGACAAAGGGTGGGACACTTAGTGACCTACCCTCCCGCCGTGGCATTCTCGGGTAATGGAGATACACCTGCTGGGGAAACTCAAGAGCATACTCAATCCCATTGAACAGAGCAGCAAGCTGGCCAACAACACCGGTGCGGGGCTGGAGAAGGTCTCGCGGTGACCAACCGTCCATTCCTGAGGCGGCGTCGGCTGCACACAACAAAACACTTCCAGGAAGCAAAAACATGCTGGCATTCACTGCTGTGGGCCTCCAAAACATCGGGCTCGGCAGCGGGCCGAGACGTGCCGGCAGGACGGGGCCCGTCAAGATGACCTGGACTGTCCCTGATATGACGTCCATTCTTGCGGGTCTGGGCAATGAGAAAGGGGGCCACAAACATTTCAACCTCCTCAATGGTGGATGGATTTCGCTGTCCCCACTCAACACCTGGATAACCAGGCCTGCATCCCAGGGCGGCAGCTGGCTGACCTTCTGCCACGCTGGCCGGAGCAGCCACGCTGGCGGCAGCAGGCAATCCCGCTCCTCGCACCCGCTATGCTGACACGAGCTGCCCGATGGACTTGGCGGCAAACTCCGCGGTGAGGCTGGTGAGCAAAGGGGCTACCTTGACAGCCTTAAGCCTGCTCGATGCCCAGCCTGCGCCGAGAACCTGGACCTTCTGGCCGAGCTCCGCCACCTCAAGGGCACGCGCCTGGCTGGACGTGAGCTGGTACAGGTCAGCGTCGAGCCCTTCCAGATCCTTGCGTTGCTCCGCAATGGCTTTCCCCCCGTCCTCGCGCTCGGCATTGAGGTTCTCGATGTGGGCCACCCGCTTGGCCAGCGCCGCTTCTGCCTTCTCGATGGCAGCCTGCGCGCGACGGATCTGGTCGGTGAGCGCACACATCTTCTCACAGGCCGGCTTGGAAACGAGAAACTTCGCCTGGTGCTCGTCGCGCGCTGCACGAAGCCGGCCAGCGGTTTCGACTCAGAAGCTGTGGTCGACGACAACCCGTCGAGCTACTGCGCCTGATGGTTGGCCGCTTCGATCTGCTTATCGAACGCCTTGATCTCCAGCCTTCGGCCTCCGTCCGAAAGCTGGTTATCCCCCTGCATGGCTGGGTCGCCAGGGCCCGTCTGCAGGGCCTGTCTATCTTTGTTGGCCAACTGGGCACGCAGGGGATCCACCTGCTTGCCAGGGTCCAGGATATGCTGCTGCTGCTGCTGCTGCTGCTGCTGCTGCTGTTCGCGTTGGAGCTTGTCCTCCTCCCACGGGCCCACGGCGTCGACTTCGTGGCCTGCCGCTTCGAGACCGAAGAAATAGGGGACTGTACCACCGCGACGAAGCAAATCCCCTTGGAACGCCCGCACTTGCCACGACTCGGGACCGAAGCGACGTTCCACAACGGCGCCCGGGAAGCGGGGTGTTTGCAGAAGCGGCACGTCCACATCGCTGCAGCCTCTGCCCTAGTCTTGGCCGATTTGGAAGCCATATTGCTCTCGTGCTCGCCGTGGCGTCCCTGCAGGACCTGCTTGGCCCTGGCCTGCCGCAGCGTGAAACAAGCCGAAACACGGTGGCGCCTTTCCCGCCTGTGCCAGGCTGGTGACCGCGAGCGAGAACGCCCGCTCGTGGTGCACCGCGCGCCCGATGGCGTGCCCGCGGCGTCTGGGGGTTCGGTGTGGTCGGGCCTTCGCCCCAAAAGGCCTCGGCAGCGCGCGCCAAAACCTCGCAGGAGGAGGAGGAGGAGGAGGAGGAGGAGGAGGAGGAGGAGGAGGAGCGCGCGACCAAACGATCTCGATTCGCTGGGGCAGATGTCACACTGCGAACCTAAAGGTCGCCAGGCAAACCTGGAACTCCACACGAGTCGACCTGCAATCAACAAACGCATCCAGCAAACAATGGGCTGAGCGGGCTTGCAACGGGACTGGGGGCGGAATAACTACTTACTAACACCTCTTGGCAAGGAGGTCGAGACTTCTGGGGCACCCGAATTGAATACATGAACGCATGGGAGGAGGGGGAGCAAAGAGGACTGATCCTCGCGGGCGTTGTCGTTTCCTTGAAACTGTCGGGTGTTTCTGGAAATTCTGGTCACCACGGCCACACGCGGTTCGGAAAACTTGGTAAGACAGACCTCATAGGGGTCCCGTTGACCTGTCTTGAGCGGACGTTTGCTAGGGATCGAGGCGACATTCAGAAGGCAGGGGACTTCCCAGAAGTACCCTTTACCTTATGGGAATCCTCCTTGAGCACATCTTCGCCCTTCTGAGAGACACCCCGCTCTCTTGGAAGGCCTCTCCCGTCGCCCCAACCCCCGTCTGCTCGCCACCGACCCCCATCCACTCCTGCCCCTCCTACTCCTTTTTCCAGTTCCACCTCTTCCTCCTCCCACTCCTTCGACCATATTGGCACTGCGGACTTCTCTTACCGGGCGCGACGAACAGAAAAAACGTCAGCCCATACGACTGCTTATGAGGCCAGGCCTCAAACCTGGGGGGCGGCTTTGGGGGGGGCTGGCCCTTAGCAAGGGCGATCAAAGTCCCAGCAACACGCAATTTGTTGTGTAGGCTTGCAACCGAGGCATGAAATTAGACACTTCCTCTTGGCCCCCGAGGCTCCACTTGTCGGCACAGTGAAGCTATGGGCTGACATCTAGGGTGGCGGGACTCAGCAGGAGAGTCTATCAACCACGCGAAAGCATCGCCCTGGGGCTGGAAAGTTTCCCTGAACCAAGCGAACGCGTGTGTCTGGGGCAGATTCCAAAAGTCCCACAGTTTAAAGACGCACGCCAATCTTTCTGGGGCGTATGTCTGTGGGATTTGGCATGGTCTCCTGGAACTACGCCTGCGTGGGTCTACCTCGATATTTGCTTCGGCCGGTAGTCTTGATGCTAGGCCCATACCGCTCTGAAGCTCACTTGGCAAGGGTAAGAGCGACCGCGGTGATGTGGTTCATCACCTTCGCACAGCGGCCCATCCTGGGAACTGGGCCCGAGCAGCTTCCATGCTTAGCCGCGGGGTCAGAGCTGCCTCATAGACTGACCATTGTGCTGGGGGGGGTCCTTCTCCCTGCTCGGTCTGAGGACAGGCGTGGAATTTTGCCTCGGTCATGATGCCTTGCCTGCCTTTGGCGAACCTCCAGAACTCTCTCCAAGCCTTTCTGTTGGCCGTCTGCTGGGAGGCAACCCCTCTGAAGACGGTCCGCAACACGACGGCGCTATCCACAATTAGTGTGATCAGGGCATTGGTGTGGCGAAGGAGCCGGGACGGCCTCTTCCACCTGCGCCAGAGGCATGCTACATTTGTGGACAGGTTGAGCTCCATGGCCCATGGCCCCAACCCAGCAGGGTGGCTTCTGTGAACACGATCATGATGATTGAGTAAACGGCCAAGCACAGCGCCGAAGAGGGACACAAGACGAAGCGACGGACCAGCGGAGGTAGACGTGTCGCAGCGGAATCGAAGCAGATCTGCGGAAAGGTGTTTTCGCGAGCCAGCTCTTCCATCCCCCTTCCTTCCCTTCGAGGGGGGGTACTCCCCCTCCCGCTCCTTCCTCCGCAGGGTCTGGACGGGTGGGCGCAAGGTATCAGAGGATCTCTTTGGGCGCAAAGGAACTCTGATATGGCCCAAGTGGCCCATGCTGGCCTCCAACATTGCGCAAGATAGCCCAACATGACCTGCAACCTGCCTGGACACTTCCAAGGATGCTCCCTCACGGGCCAGGCTAATCCAAAAGCAATGCGCTTTTGAATGATGTCCGCCTTGTCGTTTTTCCGTTTCCGATGTTCTCGGGGTCTCCAGATGATCCAGCATGGCCTAATGTAGCCATGTAACCCAATATAGGACAATGCAAACCCCAAATCAAGGAACACCTTAAGAGAAGTGCCGTGTAAAAGATACGAGATGCGTCAGGCCTGGGCGAGGGGAGAGCTGATTTAAGACACCTCCTATCTCCCCACGTCCACGTCCCAAGTGGGATTCTCTATGTTTCTGGGCACCCAGAACTGGAACCCCTCCCCTCCCCTCCCCTCCTCACCCTTCTCCAACACAGACACGCGTTCACACAGTCACGAACTCATTCACCCGTCCTCATCATCACCATGACCATGCATATGACCATCATGACCACCACAACCACCATCATCAGCATCATCACAATCATCACCACCACCACCATCATCAGCATCATCATCATCATCACCATCACCATCACCTTCATCATCATCATCATCAACATCAACATCATCATTATCATAACCAAAGGTCACCATCACAATCATAGTCATAACCAGCACCGTCATCATCATCATCACCATCATCATTCACCATGACCATGCGCATCCCAATCACCATCACCAACGTCGTTCCCTCTCACACACGTGCGCTCTTCAACCATTCTACGTCTCATGCTCGCCCTCATCAACAGCATGACCGTCGCCATCACCATCACAATCCAATCACCATCACCATTACCAGTATCCTCCAGGAGCCACGCGCACAATCTCACCTTCATCTCTACCATCATCACCATCACCGTCGCCACCATCGTTACAATCGTCATCATCGGTACCCCACACAGAAGAGCCTCGTCTGTGAGCGAATGGCGCAGATGTTTCGAGCGGAAACCCCTCTCCCTATGGTCGCCAGCTTTATGTCATCAATCCGAGAGGGGGTGTCTGAAACCTGCAACTGTAGAAATGTTTGGACTCTAGAGGCCTGGATCAGAAGGAAGGTTCGAGCGCTAGCCTCGTCTGTCAGCGAATTGCCAGGAAGTCTCGAGCGGGGCCCCTCTCCCCTCGGGCCACCATTTCATTTGTTGAATCAAAGGGTGGGCATCTAAATCCTGTAACTGTCGTAACGTTTGGGCTCCTGAGGCCAGAATCCGTTGTACTGTTTTGCTCCTGAGGCATGAATATGGAGGATGTCTCGAGCGGGATCTCTCTCCCTATGGCCCCCCACTGAAGGTCTTTAATCCGAAGGGGTTATCTGAAACCTATTTCTGTCGTCACGTCTCCTTCTCCTCGTTCCACGCTCGTCATCACCCTTCCTGTCCTCGACCCTGCAGCCAAAACCTAAAAGCAAACAACAATGCAATGTTCTCTCAGGATTGCCAAAGCATCCGCGCACCGTGGGTCAGCCCTCGGCCACGGGATCCTAGAGTCGTTGGCCCGATGCCGCTGCGAAGGGGGCGTGGAGAGCCGGATCTCGGCACCCAAGAAGTCCGCGCGGATCTCCGTCGGGCGTTCGTTCACAAGGGGGGGGGTTAAGAGGGTGATGAAGCTAGAGGACCACATGCGAACCCTACCCCTACCCCCCACGATTTCTGAGGGGAAGGGTGGGGTTCACTTCGTTCTGGAGCTCTTGAGCGAAGTGAGCCACACCCTCCCCCTCAGAAATCGTGGGGGTAGGGGTATGGTTTGCATGTGGTCCCCTAGAAGCAACGTGCGGCTTTCCAGCACCTCTGGGGCCCGCGATGGCAGCTCAGAGCCCGCTGAAGGCCCCATCTAGAGCCACTTTTCTGCAGCCCTCGATCCCCCTCCTTCTATTGCACCCCTGCTATAGAGGAACGAAACATGGCACAAACATAAACGGTTGGCGGTCAGCGCCGATGTCTTGGTTCTGCGCTGGACCCCCCTCTCTGACGCGCGGAGCGCGCCAGTGGCGGCGCCGCCAGGGGGCTCCAGCGCAGATCCAAGAAATCCGCGCGGACCGCCGAGAGTTCATGCTGATGCAGTGCTTTCGTCTTCGATGCTACCGAGCGCCGAGCTCCGAAGGCTTCTGCCTTTCTGTTGCCCTCTCGGGCTGCTCCACCCCCCCGTCGCGAGGAGGGGCGGCGGGCGCGCCAGAGCCGGCGGCGCACGGCGGGTCGGCCCAGTAGTTGGTGACGAAGCGTATGATCCCGAACGCGAATCCGATCACCAGGCCCGCCATCGCGCCCTCGCCATTGGCCTCGAACCGCTACGGGGGGGGGGGATGGAACGGAATGGACCTATCGCGAAGCGAAGTAACATGACCCAACCACCACGCAAGCCATCTGCTCGAGTCAAATCAGGTTATCGGTACGGCACTTGCGAATTCCATCGAGGTACACCTGCCCAGTGGGCGGAATACGCCTCCTGGGACCCTCCGAACCTTCGGGGAGAGCAGGTGGCAGGGTGGGTAGGTGGCGATGGGCCCAGGCAGGCCTGAGCATGATGGAATCGCGACATCGGATCGGGTCGGAGCTGGATCGGATCGCGCCAGGATGAGTGCAGAATCGGATCTGGATCGGATGGTTTGGAATCGCGGATCGGGTTCGCCCCTGCAGGCCAGAAAGAGAATCGATTCGTGTCCGATCGGATTTGATCGACATTGGAATCCAAATTCGGGGATCGGATCGGGTCAAATTCGACCGTGAGCGGCCATGCCTGGTCTTCGACGTCTTGAAAAAATCAAGGCGACCAGATGCCCTGCTCGGTGAGAAGAGCCCAGCGGGGACTCCAACGCAGGCCCACTGACGTCGCCGTTCACTCGCCGGCGGACAACGGAATCGATGTCAGCGGCCTCGCGGCCTGGACCCCTCGGCCGCGACCCTGTGGAGACAGGGCGGCTACGCGCGGGCCGAAGAAGTGGGATCGCGCCTCGGCGCCCAATTCGAGAGGACAAGGATACGCACATGTGCGTCTCTCGTGATGCACTCCGAAAGCACCCCAGGAGGCCCAGTGAGGGCAACGCCCGGACACCCTGAAATCATCGAACCCTGGCCCCGCTCGCACACGCCCTCAGCTTGCCTGCCCCCTCCCTGCACCGCCCCCCCCCCTTATCCCGTGGCGGTGGGTGCGGGGCCCTGGGCCACAGAACGCCGAGCAGAAACACCGCCACGATGGTCGGGCTCAAATGCGTGAGCGCGTTCTGCGTCGCCTGGCGGCGCCGCCGGAAAAAAAACCGGATGTCGCGATGGTGAGGCGAGGGAGGGCGAGAAACACATCATGATACGATTGGTGAGGGATGCGTTCCGTGGTTTCCATTCTGCACGCCTCAGCGGCCCTCGGCCATTCGTCTCTGGCCGCGCGATGCAGAACCAATCCCGAATTGCAACTCCGATACCGCTCCGGCGGCGGCGGCCATACTCCACCACAGCCCCTGGGCCAAGGCCGCCCTGGGTCCTGGCAGCGGCACGGCCTGCTGGCCTCGACCGGGATGGCCAAGACACACCAACCTGGGGCCCAGGACGGCGGTGGCCGGGGATCACGGTTGCGCGCGATAACCTTCGGAAGACCCCTCTGACCTCAGCGGCCCCGACAGCGCCAACAGCACACGCGGTGCCCCAATCAACTGTTGCGTCGGCGGCGACGCAAAACTGCTGCACCAACGGTCGGGCAAAACGGGGCTACGGAAAAGCAAATTGTCCAGCGTGCAGGAGAAAGGAAATAAACATACGGGGCGGCGGGAGAGGAGGAGGGAGGAGGGGGTACTCAGAGGCGGAAGACTTCCGACCTGAGTGCGCTGGCGCGCCCAGCCTCGGCAGCGGGGACTGCGGCAACTGCCTGGCCGCGGCGCCCAGGCATCCACGGGCGATGACGACACCCAGTTCGCGGAACCAAAAGGTACTTGCCATGAGAACGTCAGAGCTAGATCTGACCAGGTGCTGTAAATTGTGCCGAATTTCAACGAGGCCCACCAGGTGGGTCGATTATGTGCGGCAAGTAGACGAGCAGTCGAGGTTTCAGACTGCCACCAGGGTGCGGCAAGCAGACGGCGGCAGGAACATGCTTGAAAGCATCATGGCAAAAACGTGGATATCCGCGCGATGTCTGGGTGGCCAGTACGCGGCCAGTCTAGGGGCACCTCGCCGGTGCAGCATGCCCCATGGGCCGCAGCCGAAGGAGCGGGCGCCGCGCGATGCGTGGGTGGACAATGAATGCATGGCGGGTCTATAGGGGGCACCGAACCAGCGCAATAGCCTGTGCGAGCGGACTGAGTGCCCCGCGCTGTCTGGGCGGACAGCGCGCGGCAGGTCTGCGGGCGCCAAACTGGCGCGGCACCCTGGGCCGCGCCCTGTGGCTGGGCGCAGAGCTAGGCCACAGGCCGCGCGCTTGACTTGGGGAGAGAGGTCAGAGCTGAGCCGGGGTGCCACCCAAGTCGGCCCTCTTGTAAGAACCCTGGTCGTCGGGGAGGGCAGCGCGGGGAAGCCTGGCGCTCGGCGCGCGGCGCTGGCCGTTGCCCGGCGCGGCCATGATGTCGAGGGCCTTTGGCGCCGGGTAGGCCTGACGGGTCGGGGCGGCGAGGCCTCGACTGATCGTTGCTGGGCCGGGCGGGGTCGGCGTGTTTCTTGCCTTTCCCAAGCGAATCGCGGCTTCTCCATTTGCCCCGGTCCGCGTCGCGCCGTTGCTCGCTGGGCCGAGGCAGGCGCTCCCATGCCGCCGCCCAGTCCATCCTTCCCCCGCGATCTGCAGACCTTGCAGATGTCGTTGCAGGCGCGGCGGAAGTCGCCCCCCGAATTCCACGCAGAAGACGTCGCACCCATCGTGGTTGCAGGTGCCTCTCGCTGGCCCTCGGCTGTCTCGGGCTGCGCTGGCGACAAATCCATCGGCGAGCTGCGTCTCTAACCGCGCTGCAGGTGCGAGCCCTGCTGCACTGTCGTCTGCTCTTGGGCCAGGGTGTCCCTGGGGGTCTCTGCCTGGGGCAGGGCTTTGGCCGCGGCTGCGCTGCCCTGCGGCAGCGCGCGACGCCCGCGGCAGGTTCGGGCGCTCGGCCCGGGCATGATCTTGTTGGGGGCTGTCTTCGCGACGGTACTCGGGCCCGCCCCCGCCCAGATCGTCTGCGCCAGGCAGATAGCATGACGGCTCTGGCGATCATGGGCTCTGCACCCCCTGCATGGCGAGGAATCTCACGAAGTGCTGCTGGCTGCGCCTGCTTGGGCCCTTGCCCGTGCTCGCGCTCGGCTGGGGGCGGTCGGAACCCATGTAGTAGAGTCATTGCTCGGCGAGGTTGTCATTCCGATTGAGAATTCTCTCCTTCTGCCTGATTAAGCGGGCACCCACGTGCACAAGGGCGGCGCGCCTCCCGTCCACGGGGCACTTCCTGGGCATTCCGTCGCCTGGGATCCTTGGGCCGTAGATGCTGCTTAGGAAGGCCTTGCGGTCATCCTCTGTCGCGGATCCAGGGGGGCGTCATGGGGCCCCTCGGGACTCTGTCGCTGCTGCTCCCGCTCCTCTGCCCATTGTCGCCAGGCCGTCTCGACGTTGTCGTGCATCGCCCGCGCGTGTTGTACAAGTATGTGCGCAATAGCGCAATCCTCCTCGCGCTTCTTCGGGTCCAACTCGACCAGCTTCGGAGGAGCAAAGTGGCCGTGTTTCGATCGGCCAGGGCGGGGCGAGGCGGGGGCAGCGCCTCGGGGAGGTCGAGGAGGATGCCTCCGGCGTCGGCGGGGTCGGCAAGGGGGGGGGCGACTTTTTCCCGGCGCGGCAGGAGTGGGCAGGCCACGCGGCGCCAGCCTGCAGCATTGGGCACTGCGCGAGCGCGTCCTTCCCCGCCCTGCGCAGGAACCTCAGCAAGGCACCCGCCTGCACTAGGCAAGGTGCCATGGATGCGTCCTTGGAGAGGGCGGGCGCGTAGTCGCCCCGCTGGGAGGGGTGCTCGCCTGCTGCCGAGGCGGCCAGGTGGGCCAGCATGACATGGCGGCAGGTTCTTCGCCAGGACCAGTCGTTTGGGCTGGTGTATCCCAGGTCCGTAAGCTGGCCGTCTCCCTGTAAGGTTCGATGGGAGGTGTCTAGGAAGGCCCAATTCTGGTCTGCCAGCGCGATGCTGCCCTCGCTCAGGTGTTGCGTGCAGTGATTGATCCACCGTTGGTTGCCTGCCGGGCCGTCGTTGGATCTGTCGAACTGAACCAAATCCACTATGCCGTCGTCGTCGATGTCGTCCAGGGATGCTGCTGCGGCACCCTGCCAGGTGCCCATGCCCTTGGGGCTCTGGCGCCCGTCTCCCGCGCGGGGTGCGCGTTGTCTCCTGGCGCGGGAACGTCGTCGTTCCACGTGGGTCCGGGGCCCCTGCTCCGGGGGCCGCTGTCTGGCGCTTCAAGAAACAAATCATTATCGCGCGGCGGTGCCCGCGCACGAATCCCATCCGCCTAGTGGGCGCAAGTGGTTTAGGGCGCTTCCTCATCCAATCTCCACCCCCCCCTGCCGGGAGGGGCTGCGCCCCGTTGAAAGGCCTCCCCCAGGCGACCGGCAGGCAGCCAGGACCAATGGCATCACGCATCATTGCAAGTGCACTGTGCACTTCGCGGCTGAACGTGCATCGCGCGCGGCCGCCTCGCTGTCACTTTGCGTGGGCCTTTGACAAGGGCAGCGGGCGCGCTGGCACACTGCCTGCCGCGCGCAGGCCCACCTGAAACCGCGGTGGCCACACCGCCCCGATTGCGCGCAAATTTTGGGAGGGACGGCGGGCGCCGACATGTTTCCGGATGCGCGGCGCCACGCGCGCGGGCGCCCCTGGCACGCTCCGCGCGCGCCCCGGACGCGGCGCACCCAGCGCGCGCGGCGCGCTTCGCCTCGCCCCGGCGTCGCGCGCATGGGGTTTGCACTTTCTTCCCAGTCGCTGTCCGTCCATAAGCTACCGCCGCTCAACGCGCTCAGGCTCGGGCGCTGCCTATGCGCCGAGACTTCCCCAGCAATGCAGGGCAATGGCGAGCAGAAAACATTTCGATATAGGTTTTAGATAGGTTCAAAAGTAGGTTCGGGAGATAGGTTCGCAAGCATAGTAGGTTCCAGGAAGAAGGTGCAACGCGCGGGGAAAACGCGCCATCGGGCATATAGCCTCCCGTCACTGGGTTTGCCAAAGCGCGTCGGCGCAAATGCCGCGGGCAGCTAAGTTGGCGAAGCAAATCCGCCGAAGTAGCCCTGGCAAGTGCACCCGGGGACGCCCCCTGGCCGCGGTAACCTCGCCAGGAAGGTTTGCAATGCAAAGGGCGCCGGGGCTGCATTTCAGGCAGGGGCCGCGACACTTTTCGCGCGATGCACCCTCGGGCACTAAACATGGAAAGTTAACGAGAGCGGCTGCGGAGAAGACCTCCGCAAACACGACCCGCCAGAAAAGCAGCCACGAGAATGGGCGACCCAAAAATTAATTGGGGCAGCCCCAGCAACTGGCACGGCGAACAACGCAATTCAAGGAATCCTGGACAAGCCGGGCCGCCACCAACAATCACCACCCCAGCAAAACCCCCATGCCGTGTCCCGGCGGGGTTCGGACACGCCATGGCTCCTCCTCATTATCACGGCCGCCCCGCCCAAGGTCATTCTGCCCTCCCCAAAGCCACTCGTCATCAATCACATCATGCTTCCCATCATCGCCCCCCTTGCCTCACCATCCTCTCCCTCATCAGCCGCAGCATCCATGTTCTCATCCTCCTGCCCCCAATCCTCCCCGCCCTCCCCGTCCCCCCCTCCTCCTCCTCCTCCTCCTCCTCCTCCTCCTCCTACTCCTCCTCCTCCTCATATTCCCCATCTTGTTCCTACCTTTTCTCCCTCATCCCCCCTTCATCCGCCCCTCATCCTCCACCCGATCCTCCGGATCCTCTTGGTCCTCCTCCTCCTACTCCTCTCTCCTGTTCCTCCTTCCTCCTGGCCCTCCGTTTCCTCGACCTGGCTCTCCTCCTCCCTCCTCCTCTTCTTCCTCCTCCACATCCTCCTCCCGGCTCTCCTCATCCACCTCCTCCTCCTCCTCCTCCTCCTCCATTCCTCTTCCTCCTCCTCTTCCTCCCCCACATTCTCCTCCACCTCCTCCTCCTCCTACCTTCAATCCCTGACCCTCCATGCTTCCGAAAACAGTTTGAAGTAGGTTTGAAATAGGACTTGAAGTAGGTTTGAAGTAGGTTTGAAGTAGGTTTGAAGTAGGTTTGAACTAGGTTTGAAGTAGGT